GGGACAGGAGGAGGAACAAGGAGGAGGATGAAGATGCAGGGAGGGAATAGGAGGAACTAGGAGGAGGATGAAGATGCCCACGGGGGGAGGGGGGATGGGACTAGGAAATGGAAGGAGGGAAGAGGAAGAAGGTGAAGAAGTATTTGAAGAAGCGGAAGGACGGACTAGGAAGCGGGAGGAGGGCCGAGGAAGGAGCTGACGATGGTGGGAGCAGGGAAGCCGCCTGCCCAGGGCACAGCCCTGCTCCCACTCCCACTCCCACCCGCCTCCCGCTCAGCCCAGCCCGGCCCGCTACCCGGGGCGCGGCGCGGGAGAGACGCAGCGCCCCCCGCTCCCTGCAACCCCGCACGCACCGGGATCGCGGCAGCGCCCAAGCCCGACACGACACGACACGACACGACACGACTGGTTCCGCCGACAGCGCTGCGAAAGTGGGCCGAACGGCCGCCCCGCGCGCCTATACCCGCCCCATGCGGATGCGCGGCCCGGCCCGCCGCGCTATTGGTCCGCTCGGCCCCGGCGGCCGCCTCCTATTGGCCCAGCGGGGCCTGGCCCCGCCCCGCCTCTGCGGTCGTGCGGGACGTGCGGGCCCGGTGGAAAAACCCCGCGCTGCCAGGGGTTACCCCCGCGCCCCCCGGCATGCGCACACGCATAGCAAAGGCCTCTCGGGTTTGGCAGGGCCGCAAAGAGCGGGGGTGCCCTATGCCTGCAAATCCGAACCCCCTTTTTAAAAGAGGTGCTCTTGGGTGCCTCGTGTTGCCGGCCGGGTCCTGCTAGAAGGGTTGTGCTGGGTAAAGCGGAGGAGCAGGCCCCAGGGCCGCCCACCCAGGCACTGGAGCCAGGCCTGGCTTTACTGGGACTAAGAAGTTGCTGGGGAAGGTCCTTTCGGGCCTCCAGATGGGTTTGCAACTATCCCCCAAATGCAGAAATTAATAACATAAATAATAATAAATTGGAAAGGTTTCTCTGTTTGGACTTTGCCTTTTGGAATGGTTTTCTTTCGGAAAATTTACCTAAAGTTACTCGTATTAAAAAACGGGGCGAGGACCCTGAAAACAAAAGCTAGCGCTTTGGTTCAGATGGAAGAAAAGCCCAGATGAAGTCGTTTGGGGTTTTCCCTTTGCTCAGCAAACTGGAAAAGTAACAGTTTGGTCCGAGCTATCGTGGACGAAATCAGGAAATTGCAACAAGTCCCGTTCCCAGTAAACTTCTTCCCTGCCTGCCTTCCCTTCTCTTTGGCTGCGGGGAAGATGAAGGAAGAGGCTAGGACAAAGTGTGGGCAAGCAGTTGTGGAGAAGAAAGGCGGTGGGGGGGTACTGGAGAAATGTAGCCAGGTGCTAAGCGGTGAGGATTCAGTGAGTTTAGCCTGTCATGGCATCGACAAGCCTTTTTGCACTTCTGTTATCCCCTTATGAAATGCAGGCCTTAGGGTCAAAGGGTAAGGCACTGATATTTGCAGCTAACACGTGCATTGACATTTAGCCCTTCATAAGATTTGGGCGGGTGGAATGCAGCAGCGAGGGGGATGGGCGAGGGGAATTTCACTGTGGCTGCCAGGTTTCAATCCCTCCTCCCCACCTCAAGATTGTGCTCAACTGCCTCTCTAGAGATGACGTGCTGCATTGGCTCATAACGAGAGCTTTGAAAAGCAGGTTTTTTCATTTGACACAGAGAACGCACCAGAACTTCAGTCAGTGCAGCATCCTTTCATGTGACAGCCCAACCTTTTGATATGCCGCATCACAGAAACACAAATCAGATACAACCATCTTCTTTCGGCAACACAAAAACTGCCAAGTAATTTAAAAGGTCTTTGAAGAAAATGCCCCTGGACAGTTCATGCTTCCTTTCTCCAAATGGTCACTCTGAAGACGAGGGGGGAGCCGCCCTTTGTTAGCAGCTGAGGAGCACGTGCTCTGCAAAACTGCTCGTGCCTAAGTATTTGAAGATAAGAGCCACCATTGTTAGCAATGGGGATTTGGGATGTGTAAAGAATGCTGCATTTAGGCCGAGGGAAGTTTTTCATTTCAGTCTGCTTTGGAGTAGGAGGCCTGTGTCCTGTAAGTGAGAACAAGACCAGCCAGTTAAAAATATATATTTTGCAGTGGATAGGTATTTGAAATACTTATTGGTACTTGCTGTGTGTTTTCAAGATGGGGATGATAGCAATGCTTAAAATGGACTACTGGCAGCCCTTGGACTTACAACACAACTGGTTCCTGAAAACTGTCTCTCAAGTAGAAACGTTGTAACTTGGAACTGATTTTCCCATAGGCTGCAATGTTATAAATGGGGGATTGGTGCCTGAACCAAGGCCCAATACCCTATTTTCACCAAAAATAACCAAGAATTTTGTACTCAATCACTTATAGATGCATAATATAGCTACATTAATGTATTTAGACTGTAAATAGTAATCATATTGATTCGGAAGGACTTCTTTGCTGGACTCTCTGAAGGGCTTTTGGCTGGACTCTTCTCAGGAGTCCTGGCTGCAGGTTCTGGAGTCTTGAACTTGTTCGCTGGCGTGGTGTTGCATCAGATCAAGCATTGTAAAGTTGAAACTGAAGTCAGAAAGTTGAAACGGTGTCAATTTGTAAAAGTTGTAAGTGCGAAATGTTGTAAGTTGAGGACTGCCTGTACACATGCTGCCCATAGGCGACAAAAAGAAATACTTGGGTACATTGTTCCAGCCTTACTTCTCTATGAAACAAAGACACAGAAATGGATGAGGAACGAATATTGAAGCATGGTCTCTCCCCCGCACCCAGCCTCTCTCTCACCCGCTGACTCCTCAATTTACATCTTCACTGACTACCTATCTTGCATGCAGACCAGCCCAGCCTCTGGCTTCTTGACTTTTCACCCCATCCAGGAAGAGCACACACCAACTGCAGAAACTTCCTCAGCCTGACGAAGGGTTTTTAAACCCAAAAGCTTACTTAAAATTCCACCCCCAACTATCTAAGCTGGTCCAGTAAAAGATATCAGATTCACCCGAAGAACCTTGTGTGATGAACCATGATAAACTCTGAGAGGTGAGAATTTCTTAGGCTGATATCTTTTATTGGAACAACTGCGTAGTTGGGATAGTTAGACAAGCTTCTGAATGCAAGACATTCTTCACAAAGAAATGCAAAACTCTGAACTTCGGGGTTCAGAGATTATAGTTTTTATTAGACCTACTAAGAAATTGCAAAAAATTTATCTTTCTTTGCAAGTTTTCTGGCACATGCACCCTTCTTTAGGCTAAAGGGAAATTAAGAAGGGCACATGTGCCCGAAAGCTTACAAAGAAAGATAATATTTTTGCAGTTTCTTAGTTAAAAGGTATCATCTCTGAACCAAGAGTTTTAGAGTTCTGCATTTCTTTTTGCCTCAGACCAACAGGGCTTCCAAATACATCCCTGAGACATTCTTCAACAAGTTCTGTGAAATGTATTTGGATTTTGGAACAAATCGATATCAACAGCACTTGCATCTCTTTTGGGTTCGCTATCCGTCAACAGCCAACAGCAACAAATGCTTGCGGAAGGCTGATCTGGAAGCCAAATCATGTGCGTGTGTTCATAATAAATTAATTTTAAATGTGCACTCACGGTGGGCTCCTGCATCAAACAGACAGAGCGCACCTATAAAATGCCACCTGATTTATCTAACCAATTGCAACTTGGCAGCATTTCTAAAGTAGCATATTTCAAGGGCCAAGTGATCTCCCAAGACAGTTTAGTATCACATGCCATGGAATCAAAACTGTTTGTCAAAATAATGTGATAAATACTTCCAAAGAAACTGTGCTCCATTCAAGGACATTTTGTGACAAGCACAGTAATCAGATAAATTTTCAATGGTACTGATTCACTCAGCTGTACTTATTATTTCTTGTTACTGGGATAACACTTGAAAGGCATGTGATGTTGAACTATGCACAAAATGTGCAGAGTCCCAGCTCTGGAAATTAATAGCTTGCTTTTTATGGAGTCAATGGGGATCCCTTGTCATGGTGTATAATAAGAACGTGATGTTTTGTGCGAGTCATTCCCCATTGAAAAAGCCGCTGAGAAATACTTTCCCCCCTAGGATTCACTTGATCATCTTGCACTATCAGCTGTTCCCAGCCCACAGCTGAGTAAAGCCTTACTGGACTCAAAGCTTCTGCTTGACATCCCAAAGAGTATAAGGCCAGAGCCAGCGTGAGCTGCGGAAATTGAGACATACCCTGATCCATAAGCAAAGATAGAGCTGCCAGTCTCTTCCAACTACTTTGCTTCCAAGGGTACTTGTTGGACTGGCTGTTCTGATTAGAGAGACATAGATAGCTGTGCTGGTCTGAAGTCAAGTAGAAGGCAGAGTAGCTTTGCACCGTATAGACCAGGGGCGGGCAATTTTTTTGGGTGGAGGGCCGCTTGCTGAGTTTTGGCAAGCCATCGAGGGCCACATGACAAGCAGCCAGGGATGGATAAATATTGATTTTCTAAATTTTGTAGGGGCCCCATGGGCTGGATAGAATGCTCTGGTGGCCCACAGGCTGCATTTTGCCCACCCCTGCTATACACTAGTTAAAGTGTGCATGTTTTTGTGTGTGTGTATGTATAGAGAGCACATGCTTTTGTGGGCTGAAGCTCGCTTCATCGGATGCTGTGAAAGGACATTCAGTGTTCTGATCAGGTCAGCCAGGTCACACACCTGTAGCTAAAATGCAGGGCTCTTTCTGGGTTGTTACAGGACACAGCTATGCTAAGGTCCAGCATAACTGCTATGGACAGGACGAGATGATGTGTAATGGGGAAAGGGTCTCAGATTAGAGAGATCCCTTCACAAGGCTAAAATGAGACAAGTGGATAAAGTTACACTGCCGGGATCACAGCTGATGCAATCTGTGAAAGGACAAAGGAAGTCCCTTGTTCTCACCGTCTCTGCTCCCTCTTTGCTATCAAATATTACCACACTTGTTGGGATCAGGACTTCCTATGTTGCTATGTGAAACGTGCAGCTCTGTATAGGGATTGATGCTTCCTTGGGCTCGAAATACCATGAAGAATTCTGGCCCCATTAAGTTCTTCTATTTCTAGGGAGTTTGCCATTTTCCTCTCGTCATGAGCCCTAGCTATCTGGGACAGCGCTTCTCCTTCCGTATGCTGGGAAGTTTCAAATTGGTAGCTGTGCTCTTGCTCAAAGCCCTAGATGGGATGCAAGGCAGGGCATTCCCAGAAGAGGATGCTGTGTCTAGCACAACTGGTGCCTGGTGCAGGACTGTAGCTCTTCGTCCTCATATCAGGATCCCTGACTCTGGAACAGCCTTTCCGCATTGGTCTGACAGCGTCCAGCTTGACTTCAAGACAGGGTGCAAAGCCTGTCCATTGCTTGAAGATTCAGGC